CCTGCTGCTCCCTCTGCTTCGCGCTGCTCCCTCCGCTTCGATCCACGCCGCCCCTGCTGCTCCCTCCGCTTTGATCCCCGCTGCCCCCTGCTGCTCCCTCTGCTTTGATCCACGCTGCTCCCCGCTGCTCCCTCCGCTTTGATCCCCGCCGCCCCCCCCATTCCCTGCGCTTCGATCCACGCCGCTCCCTGCTACTCCCTCCGCTTTTATCCTATTAGCCAGGAGTTACTGATTCACACTTTCCATATTCCCATCACGGCTTGCTGTAGCTGAGCCCAGCAAACATGCCCCTGCTCTCTCTCTAGGTTTCCTGAGCAGTGGCTGACATTGTCACATTGGCCTCTGCCGCTCCCCAGGACTCGTTAGTCCAGTCCATTTAGCTTAGACTTTATTGGGGCAAGTGGCACCGTTTTCATATAATTGACGAGTTGGAGGGAGGTGCTGGTATCCAGGAGCATTAGGCAAGATGTGACCACTAGAGGGAGGTGCAATGAAATCCAGGGGAGATTCAGCCAGAAGATACACCAGGTGAATCTCTCTGTGCTGCTTTCCTTGCCTGTAGGATGTGAATGTGCTCCATTCCCTGCAGAATTTCACAGGTTTCTCCGATCCCCCACCGCTGGCCCTGCTGGGAATGCAGCCTGCGCTGTGCATTCGTCAATGACTAGAGCAGTGGTTCTCAGCGAGGGGCCTGGGGCCCCCTCGGGGGCTGCGAGCAGGTTTCAGGGGGTCCACCAAGCAGGGCCAGAATTAGACTCGCTGGGGTCCAGGGCAGAAAGCAGAAGCCCCACCACCCGGGGCTGAAGCTGAAGCCTGAGCAATGCAGCTTTGTGGGGGCCCCTGTGGCATGGGGCTGCTTGCTACCCCCTAATGCCGGCCCTGGCTTTTGTATGCAGAAAAGCAGTTGTGGCACAGGTGGGTCGTGGAGTTTTTATTGCATGCTGTGGGGGCCTTAGAACAGGAAAAGGTTTAGACACCCCCCCCCCCGGGCTAGAGCACGCATCAGCAAACTCAGTGACCGTGACCAGTGCAGAGCTCTGGTTCCCTGCAGCTGCCCTGCAATGGGTTTGCGTCTCTCATGTCTGCTGCAGTTCTTCCTGGGGTATGTAGCCTAATCTCCCACCGGCGGCTGCTTTGGGAGGGAAGCGCATGCTGACTGTACCAGGGTAAAGGAGCCCCCTGCTGCATTATTTGCCAGGTGGCTGTTGGGCCCTAGAGCCTGACCACGAAGAGCGGAAGCAGGGGAGACCCTCTCTTCACAGACCGAGGAGGAAGCCTGTGTTAGTGCGTGCCTGGGATATTCTAACCACGGCCCCAGTTCTGCAGGCCCTGTGACCTTCTGCGACCGCCAGACTTCACGGGCTGTGCGCCTTTGGGAGTTTACTGGAGCTGTGGCTTCCTTGTGGGCTGCAGAGGCTGGAAAACCCTAGCGAGCTGATATCTCAAACAAGAGGAACCTGCGCTGCTGGGCGGGATTAGCACCGCTAATCCCCTTGCCTGGAGGAGGGCGGGGAGGTGCAGAGAAAGTACACAAGTGTGTTAGCAAGGAAGGGGAGGGAAGTCCCAGTTTGCAATGCGGCCTTTCCCTCATCTGTGCCCTTCCTGTCTTGCCCCCGTAGAAGTGGGGAGTACGGGGTGGCTCTGGGCTCCAGGGAATGCCCCTCCCCCTCCACGGGGGGTAAGCAGCCTGGCCCACTCTCCCGTCCACACACAAGCATTTGTGGGGTTAATGTGAAGGTGTGTAAAGTTCCCCTGTGGTGAGACCATAGACAGGCTGTATTTACCTGTGGGCGGGGCATGCTGTGGTCAGGACAGGAGATGGGGACTCAGAAACTTTGGGGTCTCTGCCCAGCTCTGCCCTGTGACCATGGCCAAGTCATTTGCCCTCTCTGGGCTTTGCTTCCCCGTGCTGAGTAATGGGGCTAACAGCACTGCTCCAGCCCCCAGGAGGGGTCACACTGCTAGGGTTACCATATTTCAATACTGCAAAAAGAGGACACTCCATGGGGCCCTGGCCCCTCCCCACCTGCCACAACTCCGCCCTTTCCCCAAAGTCCCCGCCCCCTCCCCTGAGCACCCCGCATTCTCCCTCCTCCCTCCCGCCCCCCGGCTGCTGCGCTGGGGAAGTTGCTTCGGTCCCCGCTGCGGTGGAGAGCGGCGGGAGCCGGGAAAGTTGGAGCCCGGGGAGGAGGCGGTCCCCTTACCATGCCTCCCTATTTTCCCGGACATGTCCGGCTTTTTGGAAATTCCTCCCGGACGGGGATTTGAGGACCAAAAAGCCGGACATGTCCGGGAAAAGCCGGATGTATGGTAACCCTACCCCAGAACCACCTCCCACCTGCCCGCTGGGTCCCCCCAGGCCTCACCCCAGAGCCACCTCCCGCCCTCCCGAACCCCCAGGCCTCACCTCAGAGCCGCTTCCTCCCGCCCGCCAGACTAGGGTTACCATACGTCCGTATTTCCCCGGACATGTCCGGCTTTTTAGTTGTTAATTGCCGTCCGGGAGGATTTTTTTAAACATATAAAAACGTCCGGAAAATACAGACGTATGATAACCCTACCCACTGCCCCCTCCCTCCTCTTGGGGTGTCAGCTCGCTCAGCCTGAGGATTGCAACCCCCCCGTGCTGCTGCAACCCTGCGCCCCACGGCTAGGAGCGGTGGCGTCTCTGCAGCCAGCTGCTGGTGCGGGGGACCCGTGGCCGCTTCTCCCTCCTCCGAGCATCTCCCACAGCTCTGGCAGAGCCTCAGTCTGCCCCCTCCGTCCTGGCCATGCAAGGAGCCCCCCCCGCCAGCGGTCCGTGCAGCCGGGGCTACCCCCAAGAGGAGAGGTGGCTGTGGGTAAGGTTATCATACGTCCGTATTTTCCGGACATTTTTATATATTTAAAAAATTCTCCCAGACGACAATTAACAACTAAAAAGCCGGACATGTCCCGGGAAATACGGACGTATGGTAACCCGACACACTGCTGCACATTTTCCCCATGTTCAAGCTCTTTGGCAGAAGTGCCAAATACTCCCGAGTTACTCCTTCACCTCCCTGCCCCCAGTGGAGGCCAGATACCAAGGTGGGGGGAGCCTAGATAGCTAGAGGGGGCCAGGCTAACGCTCAGTATTTTTCTCCCTTTAAAGAAAGAAGTGCCCACCAGCCAAAACGCCCCCGAGGTGCCCGAGAACGCACTCACCTTGCCAGCCCTGGGGAATTCCTTTGGCCAGTCGGATTATAGACGCCCAGGAAGCTGTGCTGAAGCAGAGGCTGCTGGGAGCCCTCCGCTCCCCACAGATCTGAGCAGATCCCCCAGAGACTATTACACCAGTGAGACACAGCTCCAAGAAAAACTCAAGCATCTGCAACTGCACAGCAGTCTGGGGAAAACCCCCCTCTCCAAGGCCAGCGTGTTGCCAGTGGATCCCTCCTGCTTACTGACCCCTCCCAATACGCCTCTGAACTTTGACCCTGGAAGCCCGGAATCCCCTCAGAGCACCAGCTGTGGGAAAGTCATCCAGGACCCCAGGAAGGATGGACTGAATGGCACCAAAGCCACCACCCCTGAAGGTACCGAGAACCTTTCCTGCCCTCAAATCCCCAGAGCTCACGTGTGTTAGGCTCCATCAGTTCCCCTAGGAACTGCTTCCTGTAGGGAACACAACAAGTCTGCACCCCAGGAGAACAGACTGGGGTCAGACAAGCCTGGCACCAGGAGGATAGAGCATAATCCAGCACCACTGGTTCTCCACGGCCTGGCCTCTTTGCTTCTTGCCACAGGGGGAGGCTTCATGGCTTAACCATCAGCAAGGCGATGATTTTGTCATGCAAATGGTTAGTCAATTTCACAGCCAAGGTATGTGGAAAAAAAACCCATCCTCACGGAAGGGTCACGGCCCAGGGGCGGGAGGGGTTGGAGAGTGAACCCCACACCAGCGGCTTCTGTCCCGCGGGGCTGGGTCCAGCTCCCTGCTTCAGTCAGTGAAACCCTGTGTGCTTGGTGGCACCACCAATCAGATTTGGCTCATCCGCCCCTCTGTCTCCATCTCTGGCGGGGCGGCCGGCCAAACCAGAATTGTACTGCGACCCTGTGAGTCGCAATGGCTGGAGTGGGGCCCAGAGGAGCCGCGGCGGCAGGGGTCACAGACTGCATGAAAATTCAGTTACCACGAGCAGCATGACCTCTGCGCCGCAATCTAGCCTGAAGCATCAGGTGAGCAATACCTGCCTGCCCTGGCCCCAGCCGAGGTCACCTTAACCTTGATCGTCCCAAGCTAGCTACACCGAGCTCCCTCCCAAAGGCCTGGCTGCTCTGTGGGGGCACTGAAGAGTCTTTGGTGCTTTCTGTAAGAGCAGGCTCCTTTGGCCAAAGCCCTTTCCCTTCCTTCCTGCCCTTTGCCATTAGCCAATGAGCTACCGCCCTGCAGCCTGCCAGTGGCTGCATGTGCACAGACTGTGAAGTGCCTTCGGGATCCTTCGGGTTCAGCGTAAAAGATAGAAGATTGGATTACCTTGCTCCCAGGAGCAAGCAGAGGCCTCGTGCTTCCATTTCAGATGTTTGCAAGGACTCAGTGGGTGCTTGGCATCTAAATCCAGCTGCATCTCCTGAAGAAGGAGCAGTTAATTGGTTTGAAGGTGTGACCCAGCGTCCAGGAGATGGAACTGAACAGAGGCAGGAAGGTGTTTGCGAGACACCTGGGCATCATGGGGGCACTCCTCGTTGAAAATCCCACCCTTTGCACACATTGGCAGCTGCGTTTCTCGTGGCCAATGGCAGGGTGATTATGCCCATGTGTTTATTTTTAAACCCCAGTCCCTTCCCCCCCAGCTGTGAGCCAGGAGAGGAAGCGAAAGGCCAGCAAATAGAACCCAGATGTCAGGCCGACTGTGTGCTAAAGCACCACGCAGCGCTGGGTGGATTCCAGCCCTGAGCCGCAGGAGAGCCTGTATCCATGTGAGAACGCAACACTCCAGGCGTGTTTTATAAGGTCACTATGGCTATGGGGGCCAGCAGGGGAAGCCAGACCCTCCTGGCTGACTGGGCTCCGCCGTGCTCATGAATGCAGAGTGGAGTCATGGCCAGTTTGAGTCTTCATTGGCGTCACCTACCAAGCCATGGCCAAAAATGTTCAGTTCTGCAAAATCCAACGTGCTGGAGGAATTGAACGGCCTTTGCTTGCTCTCGTGCCACCCTTTATTCGGAGAACTCTCCTGCCGCTGAGAAAAACTTGCCCATGAACGCCTGAAATCCTGCAGAGCTGTTTAGGGGCAGATTTGCAAAGGGGTAGCAACCCAAAGTGTCATTTTGTGCCCTCAGGATTTGGGCGTCCTGGTTTCTGTATGTGCAGACATTCCGCCATGGTGGGGCAAGCGGCCTTTGCATGAGCACAAGCCAAGGCCTAAAACCTTATCCAAGAATCAGTGTGAGGGCAATGCTTGGCCACAATTGGAGAGGCCCCTTTGGGCTTTTAAGGCCACAGGGTTCTGGAGCTCTCCAGACAGCCCGGGGGAAGAGGTCAGAGTGCTTTCACCAGCCAGCCTGCCTCTCCCCTCTCCCCGCCTCTTCGTCCATGTTATTTCCCAATGTCTGCCGTTCTAGACTGATGTTTAACGGATCCTGCAGCCACTAGCCTCTCCTCTCTGGGCCGAGCCCCTCGTCGGGAAGCATTTTCTGCCTTTTTCACTGTCTGTCCCCAGCTGTCAGGGCTGGTGCTAGCCCATTGCAGGCCCTAAGCAGGAATATTTTGCCCCCCCGCAACACATACCAATACGAGACCCCCTCGAGTTGCTCAAGGCCCTAAGCAATTGCTTAGTCTGTTTATGCCTAGCGCCGGCTCTGCCTGCTGCACTCCCTGAGTGTCACTGCATGGGCAGTTTGGCAAAGCCCAAATGAAGTGAGCCCCCCCGGCCCCCGCCCGACAGATGTGCTGCTGCCAGGCACAGAGGCACTCCAGGGAGCCTGGCTGATACACTGCTTAGTTCAGCTGTGATTGCCGGTGGGGCAGGAAAGGGGGAGCTCCGTGCAGAGAGGAGCAGGCGGGGTTGGGCGAATAATATTTGTCTGTCCCCTGAAACACCATCTCTTTGGCCCCAGGATGCTCTCCGATGCCCTATGACTATCCCACGCCAGCTTCCTCCAGTCGCAGCTCAGCCACGGATGATTTCTGCTACGTCTTTGTGGTGGAGTTGGAAAAAGGGCCCATTGGGCTGGGGATGGGCCTCATTGATGGCTTGGTGAGTACATTCCGCTCTGCCTCGCAGAATATTTCGCCCTAGGCTCGTGCTGCAGGGAATGGATTATATGAAGATGAAAAGTGACCTGTAAAGCGAACGCCGGGTGTATGCCCTATAGCTAGCCCCAGCTTCCTTTCCTATGAAATCTGAACAAGTGGTTGCTTGGATTAATCTCTGGGGTGAATGCAAGTGCCATGATCTCTTATACTGATGGATCCCAATAAGGCCCTGTAAGGAATCAGATCTCAGACAGCTGCTAGCTCAGACCTAGCTGTAATGCTTATATCAAAGCTGCCCCAAGGCCTGCAGAGAATAGATTAAATTAGATATGCCCAATGCTATTGCTAGAGTCCTTTGCGGCAGAAGGTTGCAAGACTAGGATGAAAACAACAAGGAGTCTGGTGGCACCTTAAAGACTAACAGATTTATTTGGGCATAAGCTTTCGTGGGTAAAAACCTCACTTCTTCGGATACAAAGTGAGGTTTTTACCCACGAAAGCTTATGCCCAAATAAATCTGTTAGTCTTTAAGGTGCCACCAGACTCCTTGTTGTTTTTGTAGATACAGACTAACACGGCTACCCCCTGATACAAGACTAGGATGCAAGACTAAGGAAGGCCTTTCCTGCCCCGTCGCAAGTAACAGGTGAATGTCAAAAAAAATCTGGCCGGATGCTGGCCAGGTGGAGGGCACCCTCCAAGAGCTCATTGCTGAGTAGGAATGAAATGGTTTGTCCTGCCCTGCATTCACGGCACATGCTCAGAATAGCCAGTGCTGAGTGCAAGCAGAAAAGTCACAGGAACGTCCCTGCTCTCATGCACTAGGACAGTGGTCCCCAACCTTTTTTGTCTGGCGGGTGCCAGACGACGAGCCACGGAGGACCGTGGTGGCGGACGAGCATCCGCCGAAATGCCACCGACAAGCAGCGTCATCCAGAGGCGTCACCGCCGAAATGCTGCTGATTTTCGGTGGCGACGCCTCTGGATGATGCTGCTTGGCGGTGGCATTTCGGCGGATGCTCGTCCGCTGGCCAGTACACGAACGAACTTAGACGCACCCACGGGCACCATGTTGGGGATCCCCGCAGGGTTGCAATCTGGTTTAGTGCAATGGGTCACTGTAACAGGGGGCTTTCTCAGCAGTGCATTAGTCTGTAGAAAATAAGGCCTTACCCCTAGTGCTGATTGCATTCCATGTGCACTCAGTGAGGGAGCTTTGTCCTGCCTGGCTTGTTGATTAATCTTCTCCCATATTTAAAACAAACAAGGGAAGTGTGGTCAGCAGTCTCCTCTGTCCACCTGGAGGTACAAACAGGGCTGAGGGCTGCCCTGCTTTCTGCTTGGATGAGAGCACACCCGTAGCCCAGGGCTTCAGACACCCAGCTTGCTACTAGAACCCCCAGGAGGTTCACAGGCAGCAGTAGATGCCAGGCCTTCAGACTTTCAGCCAGCTCCTTTTCCTCCTCGCTCTGCAGCAGCCTTGCCCTGGCATTTGGAGAAGCTTGGCCTGTTGGTACTGCAGAATTCTTGGAGCAGGTCATGAGACTCCCACTGAGCGTACAAAGGAACTAGGGCACGTGGTTGGCATCTTCTCAGTCTGTCCGAATGCATAAGCTGGGGGAAGTCACTGATCCGAGGTCTCCCTCTGTAGGTGGTGGGGATAGACTGCAAAATCTATTTCATGCGCACACAACTAGTGTTCGCCTTTTCTCTTGTGAAGTCATCTGCACTTGGAAAATGTTCTACAAGCGCCTCACCCTTGCTCACATGGATTCAGCTCTACCAGCATTAGCAACGTTGGGGACCTTCCTGTAGCTGGGGCCTGGGCCGCTACAGGCGATTAAAAAAGCAACCAAAACCCACCCCACACAGGGCGGGACCATTTTCAGAAATGCCGATGTCCCATTTTCAAAAGTGACTGACACGTAGAAGCTTATTGGAAGTCGGGGGCCCTTAGCCCCCCCCAAAAACAACTTAAAAAGGGGACTGTGGCACGTCAGTCGTTCAGTTGCTTTTGACGATTGCACCCAGTGTCTTGTAAGCCTGCTCTGAGCAGGAGTTTTAAATGCCTGCAGCAGCTAGTAACCAGTGGACGCTAAGGCTCCCAACACTGCCGACCCAGAGATGTCGAGTCCGAGAAACTGTGTCCCCCCTTGCCTTGTGCAGAACCTGTCTCACCACTGCCCTGGTACTGACTGTTGTTAATTGCTGACAGCACACTCCTTTGAACTCTCCTGGCATCTACATCAGGACCCTCATCCAGGACAGTCCTGCAGCCTCAGATGGCAGACTCTCCATAGGAGACCGCATCCTGGCTGTTAACGGCACCAGTCTGATCGGAGCAGATTACCAGAGGTAAAAAAAAAAAAAAGCCAGGGTGTGGGAAGCTTTGAAGGCAGTGATGTATGTTGCAAAACAGCAGGCCTGGCCCTACTGGAGACTTGGCCCAGTACTCAACGGCGCAGGAGAAAGTCAGCGCTACACCCTTCTCCAGCAGCTGAAGGCATTTTAAACTCCTGCTTGGAGCAGGCTCTCAGTCTCCTAGTTGCTCCTGGTGATGCCTGGGCTAATAGCCAGTGGCTTAGTACACAGAGGGGAGCGTTCTGTACCACTGGGAAGGCAGGAGAGCCACCATGTGGGTAGCAAAGTGGCATCAACAAAGGAAGTTTGTGAGAGAGCAGGGGAGCCAGGAGTTTCAGATAGCTACTGATGGCAAAAAGTGCATGTCTGGTGAAAGATCAGTGCTCTCCTGCCAGCCTGGGCATGTATTTCCCTGCCCTGGAGTCCACCTGCTAGAGTGGGACACGCTCCATCCCTGGCCACCACCAGGCCAGTTGGTCTGACGCTTTCAAGATAACCCCTCAAGTGGCATTTCGTTGAACTGCAGCCCAGCATCCATTCAGCTGGAAGCAGCAGCAGCCTCTGCAATTGGCCTGGCCCTTAGAAAGCTCCAGCGTGAGTCTCGGCTACAGGGGGATGTTATTTTGACTAGAGCAGCTCCGGGCATTGCAGGAGATGCTTGTTTCTAATAAGTGACGTTGCTCTGTGGGGTCAGTGCGGGCTGCGACCCTCGTGGGGTTAAAAACAATTCCAGAGGAGAAATAACCTCTGCTGGTAGCACTGAACATGCAGATGTTGTGTGTGTCTCCTGGGATCAGGCAGTGATCCAGCTCGGGGTGGTGGTGGGGAGACGGTAACTTGTAATGGGAGCAAGGAGCAGCCGCGTGTTGAGTATCACAGGGAGGGCAAGCAGCTGGCTGCAGCCCGGCTCCAAACTCACTTAATGCTTCCAGAGGACAATTAAATTAAAGCCTCAGCCCCTCCTGGCTTTCTTGGATGTGAACAAAGAGATAAGCGAGCTGGCCAGCAAGTCTAAGGGGGAGAGATGGGATAGAACAGGGGTAGGCAACCTGCGGCCCACAAGTGGGTTTTCAGTAGCACTCACACTAGCAGGGTCCTGGCCAATGGTCCAGGGGGCTCTGTATTTTAACGTAATTTAAAATGAAGCTTCTTAAAAAATTTTAAAGCCTTATTTACTTTACATACAACAATAGTTTAGTTCTATATTATAGACTTCTAGAAAGAGACCTTCTAAAAACGTTCAAATGTATGACTGGCACGCGGAACCTTCAATTAGAGTGAACAAATGAAGACTCGGCACACCGCTTCTGAAAGGTTGCCGACCCCTGGGCTAGAACCTGATTGCTCGGGAACTGGAGGAGGTTAGAGAAGTGGGGGAGATGAGTAACTGTAAAGCCCCCCACCCACCAAGTAAACATCAACAGCAGCTACCCAGAGGAACGCAGTGAAGCAGCTGCCCCCGAAAAGCCTGGCTCCTGGGACTGTCTCTAAAGCCTGCCTGGCACTTGCTGTGCCAAGGGTGAGGGGGGGATGGCGCCGAGGGAGAGCCTCCCGCAGGACGGCCAGCCCAAGAGTGGACTAGCAGGATCCGCAGTGGGTCACACCAGCCAGCCGCTACTCTGGTTAGTGAGCGTGGGGCCGTGGCATTAACCTCTCCGTTCCCGTTTGGTCTCTCCAGTGCAGTGGAGCTCATCCGGTCCGGAGGGAAGAAGCTGCGGTTTCTGGTTGCCAAGTCCGACATGGAAATAGCCAAGAAAATCAGCTCCAGCTCCTCATCGTCCTCTTAACGCTCATGTTGCAAGGGCCTGTCCATGGCCCCCTGCAAACGAAGCTGCTGCCAAGGCCAACTACACGAAACCTGGGGGGATGGGCAGAGACTGTGCCTGGAACATGGAGGATCCAGTTGAAATTGCACCATTCCAGGACTAAAGAACTGTTCTCCATTTGCTTTTCAGCCTGCTGGGGGTCTCTGTTCAGCTCTGCACTGCTGAGCGAGTGGGGGAGGGGGCTTTACAATCCAAACACCCCTCCGCTCACAGCTGTATCACATGGGCTCATTTTACACTGATGTCCTTCCCCCTGCCAGCCTCAGCATGGGGTTTGCATAGCCCACCCCACGCTCCTCTCGGCAGAGGGGAGATCCCGTTCCAGGCAGGCAGGAGGGCTCGTGGGCTCCACCGAGGTTAGGAACAAGCTATTCCATTCCTCTGCACTCAGTGGGCACGGCAGGGCTGGTAGATGAGCTTGCCTGATTGGGGGTGGGGGGCCCCAGTGGCTGCTGTTGCAATTATTGCGTTACCTAGCGCTGGCACCTGGGAGATTTTGAACACCTAGTGATTAACATAACAATTACAGTTATCCTAGGCCAGAACTGCCAGGGAACGTTTATTACAAACGGAGGTTCCTGGGTGGCTGGGCTGTGAAAGGTGGCAGCAGAATGTCCCCCTCTCACCCTTCAAGCTGGATTCCCAGGGTTGGGGGTGTTTTACGTACTGAGAAATGACAGAACAGCCTGGGTGCCGGAAATGACTGGGGGGCTGCACAGGCAGTAGCAGGCCCAGCTGTGACTTTACAAGGACAGGCTTTAGCACCGTAAGCTGACGTGTGGGGCTGTCTTGGTGGAACTGATGTGTTACATTCACTTCCTCCACAGCACAGCCTGAGAGTCAGTTCACCCTGCCCTAGTGTAGTGCCTTGCTGCTGCTACACTAGGCCCATCACCCCTGAGCCCTGCACTGGGGATAGAAAGTGGCTACAGCAGAGAGAAAACAGTGTGAGAGCAGCTGCAACCGCTCCCAGGCTTGGCAAGAGGGCGCTGCCGGAAGGGTCCTTCTCCTTTCCTCATCACTGTCCCACACCAGGGAGCGGGCCCTGTTGCACAGGGGAGCTAGTGTTAAATCTTCTCTGTGTCACTGAAGCTTCAACAGCTTTCAGCGACATTGGCCTGGGCAGAGACTGTTACGCTGTGAAGCCCCCAGCCCAGGTGAACTAATATGACCTCTTGCTTTGGTAAAGTACTCACAGCTGCAATCTGTGCTCCGTTACAAAATGGAGACATGGCTGCACCCAGGCAGAGTGGCTGCTCTTACGTGGTCTCTTTGGCTGCATGGGTGATGCCTCATCCTATGCAGGGGCAAGTCCAGGCTATTGGAGAGACACGGTGCGGGAGGCAATCTTTTTTACTGGACCAACTACTGTTGGAGAGAGAGAGAGAGAGAGACGCGCGCACACACACACAAAACACGGTTGAGCTATGCCGAGCTCTGCTTCAGGTCTGGGAGGGGCACTGCTAACTACAAGATCCAACAGACAGTTTAGCATAAGTACTTACCACATATTCTAACCATTCAAGGGGAAGCGGCCCGTTAACACCCCTGTAGTCATGTAGGACAAAAATGGGGCAGGGGGTTAGATTGGTGGAATAAGCCAGAAATCCGTAGCAGGCAGCCGGTAGCTCATTAGTAAGCGAAGAAGTCAAACCTCCCCCCCATAAAGCTAAGGTCATACTTTTGAAGGCACCGCTACTTTTGCAGCTGGACTTGACTAAGTGGAAAGGGCAGCAGTCAGATGGCTAGTAGCCAAGTTGCAGGCCCCAGCAGGTATGTAAATCGAACTAAAAGTAGCTCTGGGGGTAGTTGAATGTGGATGCCAAATCAGAGGTAGTTTTAAAAGGGGTAGCCAGTGCTGTAACATACAGGCAGAGCTGGGGAGTGCGCCACGGGCCTGATTCTGTCTCCCATGCACCATCCCATCTTCTGCATACCTCGGCTGCTCAGAACTGCCTGCAACTGCCGTGCTGCTGATGTTAAACAATGTCTGGCCTTGAAAGAGACATTCCCTTTTTGGAAAGTCAGTCACAGCTTGAACTGCTTATTCCCAAGAGCCCACACAAATCACTCTGCTCTCTCCTGCCAGCAGCAAAGCAAGGCGGCTGCTCTACCATGTGGGGAAATGTTTTAATTGCAAGTATATTCTTCCAGGCTGTTGTAGATGAGCTCTGTGTGTGGGTTAGCAAGCACAGAGAGAGAAAACCCTCCCCTCTGAAGCCAATGGTAAAACCACAAACTAATCACTGTAAGGTGGAAGTGCGGGGTTAGCCCACCCACCATGCCACAGGGTTCTGTGTAGCCTCATGGGCAAGGCATCTAAACCCCCATTGCAGCTCTCCAGGCTGACAGAAATAACCACAGAAGGCTAGAGTCTGGCTTCTGTGCTGTGGCATACTCAGAACACCTGGGCTAGGCCACCTGCACAGCAGTGACTAGAGATACCCTTTAATTGGAACAGAAGCAGGTAACCGCAGGAAGACAGCTCAAGGCTCTTGCTGCCTTATTAACGGTCAAAAGAACTGTGAACATTAGCTTGACCTTCCTCCACTGAGCCCTGGAAGCACCTCCCTGTCCATGCCCCTGCCAGCTGAGGGCTGCAGAGACAGGCACAAGAACTGCCCTCGAGCCTCCAGGGAATCATGTAGATCCCCCTGCAGCCCGGCTTGTCCCAGCCCAGGGTGCAAGAGCCTGAGTTTGCAGCATGACAAAGCAGGCCCAGCTATGGCTTGATTCAGCAATACCAGAGCAGGCCACACACATACTGCTCTCCAGCTTTGCAGCCCGCCCCCCTAAGGAGAATAGCATAACTCACCCCACAGGAGAATCAGCCAGCCTCCACAGCTGGATGGGAAGCACCAAGCAGTCAGTCCCCAACTGTCTCTAGTTAGCACTGCATACTCTGCTAAATATTCCTATTGCCTGAGTGCAAAGTCAGGGGCCCCTGGAGGGCACATGCTCGCTGCCAGCAGCAGAAAGTAGGGTTACCATACGTCCGGTTTTTCCCGGATACGTACGGCTTTTTGGTAATCAAACCCCCGTCCGGGGGGAATTGCCAAAAAGCCGAACATGTCCGGGAAAAATACCGCTGGCCGGGCACTTCCCCTCCTGTGGCTGCTATGCTCCTCCCCTGACTCTTTGGCTCTGTTTAAAGCCGAGCTGCCCGAGTGCTACCGGCTACGGGCAGCCTCCATGCCTCCGGCCGGGCACTTCCCCTCCCAGGGTCCAGGGGCGCAGGGTCCAGAGGCACGGGGGCTGCCCGAAGCCAGTAGCGCTCCGGGGAGCTTGGCTCTTAAACAGAGCCAAAGAGTCAGGGGAGGAGCACAGCCGCTGGAGCCTGGGAGGGGAAGTGCCCGGCCAGGGGCGCAGGGTCCGGAGGCATGGGGGCTGCCCGAAGCCCGAGCGCTACCGGCTTCACGGTTTGCCGGGCAGCCTCCAGACCCTGCGCCCTTCCCCTCCCGGGCTTCAGCTGTGCTGGGGAAGCGCCGGCCGGGGGCGTAGGGTCTGCCCGGCAAACAGTGAAGCCGGTAGCGCTGGGGCAGCCCTTTTCACGTGGCTGGGAGGGAGGAGGGGGAGTTAGGGCGGGGACTTTGGGGAATGGGGGGAGTTGGGGCAGGGAAGGGGCCAGGGCCCCATGGAGTGTCCTCTTTTTTTATTTTTAAATATGGTAACCCCAGCAGAAAGGGGCATGACCACTCCCCCATTCTTGTTAATACTGTACAACTCTACAATGTATATAGTTCTAGTGCAGACCTGGAACGAAGATCAGTGCCCCCCCGGTTACAGGGCTGCTATGGTCAAGGAGTTGTTCTTGGTGTGAAAAATAAACTGGATCCAATAAAACCTCCCTAAGCTCCATTCTGGTGGCAGTGGTTTGGAGCCTGTTTAGGCCTTGCCAGGTTCAATTTAACTTTAGAACAAAAAGGGAACGGGGGCAGACCCTCGCTTACCTAAATCATTCCCACAAGCTGCCTACGCGTCACACCATTTCCTGGCCACAGGACTTGCCGTCTTGCTCTAAGCACCTGTTACGAGCAGAGCAGGTGGGGTAGGAACAGCAGGAGGAGTCACAATGCAGTCAGAGCAAAGGAGAAGGAAAAGACGACACGTAATGGCTGAGCGGTAGGACAGGGCAAAGTGCCCCTCAAGGGACTTGCTGTGGAGTCGGCCCTCTGGATTTTCAGAATCTTCCAGGCCAGAGCTCCTTTGGCTGCTGCCATGAGCTGCGAAGGGAAGCAGGCTGGGCCCCTCCAGCAAACCCCAAATCACATACATTAGCCAGCGCCCTTCCCCTGTATCCCTGGGTTTGTCTGTCTGGGGTGCATGCTGAGTGAGTGAGCTGCTCCTGTCTCATGGGGGTGATGTCACTGATCTCCCCGGGCGGGCCAGGACCCGAGTCCCACTGCAGGAACATCGAGAAGAGTCAGTGGAAACACTTCCTGCTGCAGGGGCCGAGGGCAGAACAGCCACCCACGAGAGGAAAGACACAAACCACATGGTCAGGCTCGAAGACAGAAACTGTTGGCTCTGGTTATTCCTCTTTGCCGTCCTTTATTGCCCATTTCCAGGAAGGTGCAGCTTGGAGCACAGCCTCATCCCTCCACCTTCCCCATGTTCCGTTTAGCAGAGTCAGCAGCAGCAGGTTAGTCAAAATACAGCACAGAGCCAGCCATGTCTCGTCAATCAGAGCTCTGCAGTGTACACTCAGACCTGCCATCACCTCACCCTGGCACGAAGCCAGTCCCCCTTTCTAACAGCCGGCTGGCCGTCTTCATGGCGAGAGGCAGGGACACGTTAGTGTCTCGGTGAAACCGTGGGCTGGCAACCTCCGCTGATGGCGTCAGCACAAACTGAGCCACGCTGGGCATTTTCAACAGGTTCATCAGCTCAGCGGCCCGGGTCAGGATCTCCTCATTGTCTTCCTCGCTGTACACCGAGGCCATGGCCGGGCTCTGAACAAATGCTCTCATCTTGGACAGGAACAGGGACATCCTGCAGGAGGGAAGGACACAGCTCTGAGCCACCAGGAGCTTCAAGAGAACAGCTCTAGATTCATAAAGGTCCTGCCTCAAAAGCACCACTCTTACATCACTCCCTAGATAGAACCTACAGGTGAAAGCACCCTGCAGCCGGAACCACATCCCCTCTGTCACCAACACCTGCTGGGTAAAGCTTGGCTGGGAACAGCTGAGGGCTTCCTCAACAGTAACAGTGCCACCTCACTCCCTTCGGTGCCTCCTACTGGGAGTGGCTGGGATTACACACTGCCTACCGTACACTAGTCTCGCTAACCACTACCCAGACACATGCCCAAGATGTGCTGTAATTTGGGCTCCCCCGATCACACTTTTCTATTGCTTTCACAGTTTGCCTTGTTTCAGTTCCTGGGTTTTTCATGACGCCAACAGGAATACAGCAACAAACATTTGCTTGGTAACCTGACTGAACTGCACACTTAACCATGACCTGCTGCCCTGTTTCACACCTAGGGATCAAATCTTGGCTGCGTGATGCCAGTTTGGTCAGCGTCGTCATGAGAACCGTGATGACACGTGGCGAATACTTGGGGATGCTGGCCGAGGGCCGGAGTTGCGTGATTTCAAACAGCATGGCCTCCAGGGCTTCGAAGAACTTGTTGATCTGCTCCACGGTGCACCTTTTGTCGTATGAGACAGACATGTACTCTCCAATAGCCCAGACCTGCAGCAAGACAGGCAGAGAGGTATATAGACACCATGGAGAACAGTCTAAGGACGTGACAGATGAGATTAGCTTGCACCAGAGGGAGAGAGGACAAGGAGGACGTTCGTGAAGAGAGTCCCCCAGTAGCCTGCAGAGGGGGCTACAGGTATCAGAGGCAGGCAGGCTGGTTCCTTACCACGTAGGTGAAGATATCCTCTTTGTTCCGGATGTTGCTGACAGTTCCTGAAAACTCCAGAAGCTCCTTGGACAGTTCCACTACCAGGGAGGGGTGCAGCTTACACAGAAGCACCAGCTGGGAGCTCAGCACCCTGCCAGGAAGAAGGGAGAGGGCGATAGCTCGGGAACACAGACACTACCTCCAGACCACTTGTCACCCACAGATCTGAAAGTGTTCGACAGAGGAGGAGAGCAGCGAGATTCAGTATTTCTGTTATGGGAGCGCCCAGGGACTCAAGCAGTCTCAAGCCCTATTGCGCTAGGCAGACCTCAGTTTAGTGACCTGCCCAGCAACACAGACAGAGGGACAGAGTTACACAGAATCCCTCCCTAGCACGAGTTCCATCCCCAGAGTTTGGGCTCAACCAACTGCCTGGCACCCACAGAGATCAGAGCTGGCTGCTCACCGGATTAGGTAACCCCAGTGGCCCACTAGTAAGGGAGGAACCCGCCCCCAGACAGGAGTCTGCACAGTGACGGCCAGTGAGCGCACGTGTGTGAATGGCAAACAAGTGCCTCAGTGTGCTGTGATCAGGGTGTGCATGACACCAAAGCCCTGACTGCAGTGCCCAGTGGCTCCAGTCACTGTCTTCGGGGGTGGGAGCTTCCTGCAGCTGTTTGTCCAGAGGGCTCATCCCCAAGACTCTGGTGTCCAAGTGCCTGTGACCCACATGGTTTTCAGGACCAAAGAGAGGGAGTGGTTGATTTCCCTCCAAGCGTGCCACCCGCAGGGCACCATGTCACTGTGCCCTCCGAAGAGAGGCCATGCAGGGATCGTGCCAAGGCTGGTCCCTGGCTACCCTTGGAAAGCCAGACCAGGGCTGAGGGCTGTGTGCTGTGTAACCCTCCTCCTGGCAATTCCATCGACTCTCTCCCCTTCTCAGAGGCGCCCATACTCGCCTATGGACATCGGCCTTAAACGCCGGGATCTCGTAGAGCTGCTCACTCCTCTCCAGCAGCACCAACACCAGCTGGTTTATCAGGGGCCCGTCTGCAAACTGGAGATGGAGAAGCATTTCCTTCAGCAACACCACAGTCCCCAGCCACTCCAGAGGGGATGCCTGGAGGAGCCTGGCAGCCTGACCCGAGTGACACAGGGTGTTGGGCAGGGGCTTTGCACTTGTCCTGCTGCTGCCCACACTTGGAGACGCCTCGCTGGTCAGCAGCTGCTGCTGGGAGCAGCCTGGCGAGGATTTCCAACAATGCTGTGCTACTGCAGCAAAGGCCCTTTAACACGAAAGGAGCCTGCCCAGCCACAGCCTAGAGAAACACCCCCCACAATCCCAGGACTTCCCTTTACAGTTTCATACACCCCACTCTGGGAAATTCAGGGTCCTGGGTATTTTCACCCCCCATTAAGGCCCAGAGCAAAGGGACGAGGACACCCTCCCGGAGTGAGCCAGAACCCAAGCCAGAGGGAGTTTAACCCTTTGGTTCCCAGGGATATTCTTCCCGTGACGAAGGGAACATCAGAGACAGCAACACACAGGACGTGAACTCCCCAGTGAGCTGCCTGCAGGGAGCCCTACCTCTGCCACCACACCGAAGTAGAGCTGCAGTAAGACAGGGATGGTGTCTGCACACTGCACAACCCGGGGACAGCTGGCCATGGACCCCAGCAGCTGGCGAAGGGGAGCCAACCTGTTGACAACAGACCCCAATATCACTGTCAAAGCAGCTTCCCTGAAGAATCCCGGCTTCCCAGCCCCGCCCTTTTCCTCACTACGTCCTTCAGCTTTTGAACACCTGGCAAAGAGGAGAGGGAGACGTGTGCCACATTCCAGCTGTGCCTGTACCCAGGAGCCAGCCTGTGATCGTACACAGCAACCCCAGCTCTTCCTCGGCCCAGAGCCCTGACTGCCGGGCTGCTTCCGCCTCCTGGAACCCACAGACCTGAGGCAGCTGTGAGACGGGGAGTCACAGCACCCCCATGCAGCTGAACCGGACGCTGGCTGCAGCCTCGTACCGCTCAGGGGAGTCTCTGGGGGCGGTCTCAGTCCGGAGGAGATACTGAAAGGTGCTTCTGTAGAGCGGGTGGCGGAAGGCCTCCAGGCAGCTGGCTGGCTTGGCAGCAGGATCCCAGGTGGCTCTCTCCGAGATGGGAGCAGAGGCAGCTCTAGTGACGGACACACACAACACAAACTGACGTAATGGGAACAGCAGCAAATTGGCTAGGTCGCAGTTAGAGGAATGTCAAGGCGGAGGGGCCCCAAGAGCTGATCAACCCTCCAGAAAAGTTTCAGGTTTAATTCAAATAGTTCCCAACAGTGAAATGGTTCTCGGGCCTTCAGAACAAGAACAGCAACAGGGTAAAAAAGCAGGAACCTGTGTATAAGAAATACTGGGTAACAGACGGGAGCCCAGGCAGACTGCACCATCCCTCAGCAGCGAGGCATGATGCTACTCTCCCAGCTGGCTCAGCAGAGGATGGCGTAATGCCCAGCAAACCCAGTGCTCCGTAATGACCGAAGTCCCCTCTGCCAGCACACAGCTCCAGTGCGAATCTCCGTTCTAAGCCTCCCCAGAGCATGTGTGGGGTAGCGAGCCCCAGCTCCCTCTCTGCAGGAAGCCAGTTCCCTAGAGTTCCCTTCCATTCTCACATGACGCCCCCAGGAGAGAATCTGAACTTCATGTCTGCCCGAGAAGCTAATAAGGGCAACAGGGCAGGACATAAGTGGGCCTGGCAGAATTTTTATTTTCTAATCACTGAGATGGATAATATCAATGTTTAGTTTTAAGCGTTTATTTTTTATTTTTATCCATTCACATTTTCACAGTTGCAGGAAATTATGGGTGGTGGTGGTGGCCAGATAATAATTATTTATTGACATGTTGGAGGCTCAAAAAGTTAAAGCGTTATAACCGTCAAAACACAAAATATACACTGTAAACATCCTTAAACTCTAATCAAGGGCCATTTTTCTGACCTTGCCTATCTGTAAATTTCGATCATCATCGATGGAAATATTTTTTTCATCGGTTTGTGTCTATGATGAAATCAACGCTTACCAATAAAAATCGAATCCTTCCAAGCCTAAATGTAAGACTGGCTAACCGAGACCACCAGTTCTGGCATCCTCTCTCTGCCAGTGGCCAATACCACATGCTCCAGAGGGACGGACACCTACCAATTGCTCAGAGGTGGACATGAGGGAAGGGAGGGAAATTCCTTCCTGACCCCTAACAACAGTCAGCCTACTGCTCAGAAGCATGAGACCTGACTGTCCCTATCTTTGCACATGCAGCAGAGCTACAAACATTATTGGTCAGGTGCTTTCGCAGCCTCTCATAAATCCAGCTACGGTAGCTGCTGCTTTGAACTGATGCAGTTGTGGGTGTTCTTTGGGTGTGGGGCAGCCATTTCAAGCAGTTAGTTCTGTCTCAAAGAGTGGGTCAGGACACTGCCCAATGTCAACGCCCTCCTAAAGAGTGAGGAGGGGAAGGTGATGTCACCTCAGCTGGATGTCCAGAGCAGCCACCAAACACGGCAGGTCAAGCAGCAAGTGAAAGATCTCGATGGCTGTGTCTGCACCAAGCAGAGCTGGCAGAAGGTCCATGAACTCAGAGATCAAGGCTGGGCTATTCCATGCTAGGAGCTGCAGGGAAAAACAGGCAGAGATTTTCACAAGCAGCTAGCAGTAGGGCTTCTTCTCTTCCCCCCCATAATCGGGCTGGATTCTCCCACCTCAGAGAAGGCAAAGCATATCACATCGGAAGTTACAGGGGCAAAGGGAGAGGAACAAAATGCACAGAACTGTGGAGTGCCGGGGCAGTTCAGCTCCGAGACCCCACAGCCAGAGCGAAACATTTAGAAGCGGATGATCCGAGTCCCTCACAAACCAACACGGCAAATTTCACCGCATGGAGCATTTGCTTCGAAAGGCGCTCAGGCTGGCCCAGCAGAGAGCTGGATTGACCCCACAGGCTCCAAAAAGGGGGGTTGCAAGGACGACACAGGAGCTCCCAGAGGCCACCTGCACTGGGGCTGATCTCAGAACTAGCAATTTTGAGTCCCTAGCCTTAATGCAGGAGAATTAACCCCTGCCCCAACCAGGCCCTGCTGCCCTGGGTGTCGTCAGACTCCAATGAGGGAATTAAAGGGTGCTGTGGACAAACTAGGAACTACTCCATCCCACAACACAATCATTCCCCTGGGATAGAGCCCATTGACACCCTTTCTGCTGCAGTTTGGTTGCCAAGCCCTTACTCCCTTTCCCACCCCCAACTACTGTATTACACACCCAGACGCCTCCGGATCAGAGATGCTACACACAGCCTTTCGTGCCCTAAATAACCATGTAAACATAGCCAGAACTAATCCCCCACCACACACATGCTTTTAAACTGCTGGTGAGTCCTTCCATGCCTCAGCCTGTCTGTCATACGTGCATGGCAATGGGCCCCAAACTGTGGGGCGTGTGGAGAAATGTTGGGGATGGCACACAGCGGAGCCTGGCCAGCCCCTACGGGGGACAGGGTGGGAGCATCACCCAGACGCAGTTCCGCTCCACCCCCTGCTCTGCCCCGGCCCCAGCTGCAGCTCCACTTCATACTCCTGGGGGAGTTCTGCGCCAAAAAATTAAAAATTCTGCACACAAATATTTTAAAATTCTGCATATCTTATTTGTTAAAATAATGCAATATAATCACGCTAGTTTCAATTATTTTGGTAATTTATTTAAACTATAATACAATGGATGGAGAATGGGAGTGAAGAAAATCCCTGAACGCCCTTTGTTTAATAGTAACGTAGCTAGTATTGACCCTTCAGTTCCAGTTATTAGTCAATAAATATATGCAGCCATATGCTCAGTGTTACATCAGAGGCAACTGAAGAGCAAGTGAGGGCTGGGGACTCAAACTCGCAATTCACATTGGCTACTGACCATCTCCAGAAAGGCCAGTAGCAAACAGTTCATGGAGCACATTTTGATAGGAAATTTTTTCAGTGCAAAAGTTTAGACGAGTTCTAATCACTAAAGCACCATAAGCATTTATAAGGTCACGCTGTCCTTTTTAATAAAACTTCTTTACACCACTCTGACAATGTAAAAGAGCCTAAACATTTTTACACCTGTTTTATAATCTTGGGGGAATTCACTAAGAACAATGGAAACAATTCACTAAGCAGGCAGGCTGCTACATGCTGCTCTGCCTGAGGGACAGAGCCTGCCCCACACTTACCTCCCCAGAAACATCCCAAAGCCCTGCCCCTCCACGCCGAGCATGCCGCAATAGTGAGCGAGAGGGACACAGGCATGACTGCCCTGCCCCAGTGGCGATTTACGTCTCTACCAGCTACTCTGAGCGCCCAAACCAACCTGCCTACACTGCTGGGGAGGGGTGCATGACCGCTCTTACAGCTTCCCTTTGCTTCCCTGTCAGAAGTAATTTTTCTGCAGGGAAGCAAAAAAATCTGCGGGGGCCATGAATTCTGCGCATACGCAGTGAGGCAGAATTCCCCCAGGAGTCACTCCACCCCTAGTTCAGCTCTTGCCCCAGCTCCACTCCACCCCCTGCTCCACCCCGGCCCAGCTCTGTCCCCAGCTCAGCTCTTGCCCCAGCCGCAGCTCCACTTCTAGTCCCGGCTCCTCCCCCATCCCCAGCTCCTTCGCTGAGACAACTGTGCAGCTGTAGAGAGGGGGCGGAGACAGATTCCATTACTGGTAAGGGGGAGTGCGACAGGTTAAGCACCACTGGTGTACAGCCACCTCCTTGAGCATTAGGGGCTTCCATTCCAAGGAGACACGTGCATGAAGAGCAATGCTTGAACCAGCCCCAGCACCTTGAAGAGGTTTGGGAAGCTCCGTCTGAAGATGCTGAGGTTCTCTGTGAAGAATTGGACGTTGTCCCTGCAGAACTGGATAAACTCAAAGGCCAGCATTGGGCTGTGGAAGAGCTGAGCAGGAATCCTGGTGAACAAGTGCTTGTAAACTGCCTCTGAATCCACCGCTGCTGTCTCACCTGGGAAGGAAGGCACACTCAGGACCTCAGCCCACCCAGCAGCCACCCTTCAAGGGCTGGAGATTTTTACAGAGTGGCTTTTGTAACATCAAGACCAAGAGCAATAGGAGAGGGCGGTAGTGCAACTCCTGGATCTCTAGCACTGGGCAGCCCAGCTGAGAGCATGTTCAAAGCCATGCAAGCAGCAACTGCTGCTGGGGAGGCACAGAGAAAGAAAGCCGGTCCAGCATTGCTGAGACAGTGCAGCGTTAGATATACTAGCCTAAGACATGGTCAAAGCTAGAGAGTAGCAGGAAGCCATGGAGAGGAAGAGTATTTCTGTGCCTACCGATCCAATCCTGCCTCTCAAACAGAGGCCTGAGTGAGCGCACAGGTACCGCACAGATTCCCAAAGCTTATGGAGGCTGGGGGGGGGGGGGGAAGAGAGGGGGGAGGCGCAACAGAAACAACATCCCAACCCCCAGCAATCCCTGTCCGAGCAGCTCTAGAGAGGACAGCACATGTGCACTGTCAGCTTACTGTGGTTCAGGAAGAACTGAGCAATGGGCAGCAGTGCCCTGGCATAAGCAAGGTCCCCACTGATTCTGCCATGCAAGATCTTCAGGCAGGAGAGCGTCCGGTACACATAGGAGGAGTCCTGCCTGCAGATAATATCCATGATAGTGACAGCCTCGATGAGACACTGCACGAGAAAGTACAGCAAGATCAGAACTGTGCAAACAAATCCTCCCCCCCTGCCCCTTGTGTACTTACAGCTTTTTGCAGGTCCCCATCTGGTTTCTTCAGGGCCCCTGACAGATAAACAAATCAAACTCAGTCCCCTGGCTCACGCTGGGTATTTGTCATTGTTAAACTGGGCAATGCTGCTGGTATTGGCATGGGCTCTACTGGGAATGGCTTAATGCTATCAAGTCCATTATTAGATCAGTGGAAGCTCTCCCTTCAGCCAGCAAAACCAATGTGATGAACTGAGCCTTCTTGGACCTCCCCAAAACACAGTGCATCCTTATCGAACACACAGCAGCCCTCTCCAGGAGGTGTGGAAGAGACGGCCCAGAATTAAGGATGGTGGGGAAGAGCTGTGGACCCTCCTAACTCAGGTAGTTCTGAGCAGTTACAGTCAAGAGAGTCCACACCCCAGTGTCAACACTTTCCAAAACCCACATCAACAGCACGAGGTAGAACATAGAATCTGGCAATAGAACCAGATGATGTTTGAGAGCTAGCAAGCAACTTCTCCCATCCCCAGCTAATCTCTCTAGGGAGTCTCAGCTCAGATCCCTTCCTCCGCTTCTGCAGACACTAGGGAGTCATTTAGTGACTCCAAGCCAGAGCCATGGCCTAGCAGGCGGCTTGAATAGATTCTTGGGCCTCGTCTCAGACCAGTGGGGAGACTGTGCCCCCGGCCCAGCAGGAGACTGAGCAAGATGATTAAGAATGACCCTGAGGGGCTCTGACGAGAGTCCTACATATTCAGACCACAACTCACGCCGGTTGCTTTGCTCGATAAGCCGCTGGCAGTATTCAAAAGCCTTCTCTCTTAGACGCTCCTTTGGAGGAAGCAGGCGACTGGAGGTGGAGGTAGCAGAGACCATGGACATGATAGACCCATCTACCTCAGATTTGTCATCTGCAGAGAAGAGATCATCGCAGATCACACACTGCATGGTACTGTTTGAGAGTTTCACCTGTGAACGAGGCTTTACAAATTGCCCAGCTCACCATGGGGGAAAGAGACGGTACAATGGAATACACCCCTGTATTCACACCCTACACACTGTGGTAATAATCTTTGTACAAAGCATGCCTTGTAAGGGATCGTCTGAAAACTCATAATTTGCTGATCAGTATTGTCCTGGTAAAATATGTGTGGCAACATTGTTTGTGAAGTTATAAGATTCCCCTGTATGATGTTACCAGCACATGTTCCGAACCCCACAGCCCTGCCCAGCCAGAAGTCAGGTCTGTCCTACGCAAAGAAATGTGTGCTTGCCTTCATTTGCATTTAAACAGTAAACAGAGTCAGCAAGCAGAGAGGAAAAATAAAGGAAGTTTAAACAGAGGCATTTCTGACTTTTATGCCTCATTACTTGTAGTCACTTAAAATCTCTCTCTTTATAGTTGTTAAACTTGTTTTACTGTTTTAGCTAATCCAGTGAGTTCAAATTGAAGTGTCAGGATAACTTGTTACCCCAAATGGAGTTATGTGCATATCACTCCCTTAAAGGACTAACGGACGTCACATATTTGTACTGCCCAGGAGAGGGCTGGGCAGCAGAGGATATACATTTGTGGGTAAAGATCTGGGACCGGGGGTGTGTTGGGGTCACCCTGCACCATAACCAAAGGTGGTCAGAGCCAAGGTGTGGCTGTCTGACTGCAACACACACACACTCACAGCTGGGAGTGTTTTACATGCTGGAGGCTATTTGGGGGCAGTCAGGGCTGGAGGCTAGAGCAGCAAGGCACTGTAAAGGACACCCCGGATAGCAGGGCAGGGGTGACAGCTACTCATTGGTCTGGATTGTACCCTGGTATATCACAGAGGGGAAGTGGTATCTGATTCCAGTCCAAGGGGAACATTACAACAGCACCTAAGGGGATGCTATCTCCACGCCTGCCCTTCATTTCTTTTTCCGCGAAGCCTGGAGGGATTTCTCCTGAAACCTGAGGGCCTATGTAAATGGTTCATTCTGGCATATCAGACCATGGTCATTCAGCAGGCCCACTGTGACATTTCCTTCACAACAGTCGTAGCCCTGGCATCCCCAGCTATTGAATTCAGGGACCCTCAATTCCAACCCACAACCCTCTGTTGGACCAACTCAGGCAGCAACTGGGGAGACAGTGCCAAACACACTGAACCAAATGGTGGTTTCATGGTGAAGCCACCAGATGCCCTTTCAGGACTAGATCAGGAAGCACATCCCACTCGGGATGTAATACAACACTCAACCCCAGCCTCTAGGCACACACCCAGCGCACCAAGCCAGTACCTGAATTAGGGCTGTTTGCCCCCTCGCTCCCATAGCACAGCAGCCACTTGCGCAGCATGGAAAAGGCCTGCATGTTGAGCCACTGGTCCTCTGTGTAATATTGACCAACTGAGAGCACTGTGAAGAAGTCTGTGGCAACTGCACCATCCACCTCTGTGACAGGGCCAGGCTGGGAATTAGAAGATAAACTGGGTGAAGTGGCGGGACTTCCTGAGATAAAGATTGTCGGGGAGAGGGGAAGTGGAGTTCACCAAACACATGAACTGAATCAGTGAACAGGTTTGTATGTTTACATGTATATAGAAGATGGGGCCCTCCATAACAACCAGAGGCCCAGGATGGGAAGGTGCAGGTCTTTTTCCATGGGAGGGGCCCTCAAAGTCCTTTTATTTCCCATCTCCCTCAAAAGCCACATTTCAGCAACCTTCCGTTTCAAGATAAATGGTTCTCAACACATGTCCGTGTGGTCACCAAAATCTACAAGATGCTCTCTTCCACCTCTCCCTGGGGCTAAACCTTCTGTCTCTGTACTCCCATTAGCCTAGGAGTTTGAAATCCAAACTCTGATGCCCAAGGTGCCTGACTGCTGCACCCACTGGCTGTCCAGCTGGCTAAGAACAGCAGCACTTTTAGATCACCTTTCCTAAAAATGACCTGAGCTCAGGAGCCTTTAAGGGTGGGGAGGTGACATGACATGGTCCAGGTCCTTTGTGAGGGTTTTTTGAATTCATCACTCACCTGCCTTGCCCTGGGATTGGAGAAGAAGCCTCCAGAGGGCTGTGCAACTCCTTGCTGAACACTTGCGTATCTCAGCCAGTCCACCATCCTTTTATTGACCAGATTGGTCTGATCTACAGATGGAAAGCAATGCAGGTAAGGTTTAGACTCATCATAGCAAGAGGCCTCTGCAGCACACTAGTCACTAAAAACTGCTCCCGAACTGGTATACTTTAAACCTAGCCCAAGACTGCCAGCAGAACTCTAGTCCAGCTCTTAGCAACTCTCAGAGCAAAGAGATTCCCCCAGTCAAACTCTGTAGGTGATTTTTACACACACACACACACACACACACACACACACACTCCGGTTCTTCTACTTTACACAACTCAGAGACCAGC